ACGACGTCAGGATCGCTATATCGTCGTCTCTCATGTGCGTAATCGGCGCCTTACTGCCGTTGAGAGTGCACTAAATGTTCTTGGAAATCATGGGCGTCCTCTAAGTTCAAAAACTGTAAGGAATCGATTACTAGATGTTGGTGTAAGAGCACGTCGCCCCTACGTTGGTCCACACCTTACCCCTGCTCGACGTCAGCGTCGTATGGCCTGGGTCGCTGCACATGCTCCACGACGGTTTCCACGGAGGAGTGAGTGAGAGAGCTGACAAATTATACAATGGACAAACGGAGGAGTGGGTGAGCTGACTAGCATATCCTATGGGCATGCAGAGGAGTGAGTGAACAGAAAAGCATACCTGTGGGCATAAAGAGTACAAGAAGTGATGGACAAATATAGAAGTGAATGAGCATATGTGATAACAAAACAAGAAAATTCACGTTTTTTTTTTCAAACTAAGATTTTTTAATTCAAATTTCAATGAAATCATAAATTACCAGTGTATGTAGTGACACAAATGACAATGCTATACATGAATATATATATTTATGTTTAAAATGCTGTAAATTCCTCTACACAGAAACATACCTACACAAAGTGTATACAATAACTAGCCTCCAACACAAGCTCACAGTCAGTATGTCAATGCTGTACCTTAATGTACATAACTAATATATCTTTCTTTTGAATAATATCTACCTTATTTTCAAGCTTTAGCAGTCTAGAGATGAAGCAAAACAATGTCAGTCCTAGAAGTAAGACTTACTTCCCTTGAAACAGTTTCCTTCAAAAAATAAGGATATTGTTTCTTTGTAAACTGTGAACAACTAACTATGCACATGTCCATTAGAAGAATCTTTTTGATTCTCTTCAAGAAAGGGATACAAAGCATGGTTGGTCTTTCTTTGTAAACCATGAACTACAAACTATCAACACCAGTTCAATTAACAACACCCTTTTGATTCTGTTCAAACAAGGATATAAAGTACTATTTTCCCTTCTTTGTAAACTGTGAACTACAAATTCTACACTTGTTCAAATAAAGGAGTATTCATGATGGTCTTGCATTGTACCAAAAACACAATATTTTAGACATTCATCATTTCACTGGCCAATATGAAACTCGTTCACTTTATCTTTATTTGAAACAGTCCATTTTTCCCAGCAATCTGCCGTCCTTGTCTATCTAACAACCAGACAGGCCACAACTCATTCTGTATATTGTCTAAACAGTTAAATTTACTTCCTCATCTAATTCACTGCCTGATGCCGACACGAACAATATCTTTGTTTCATTTTCTCACATTTTTCCACACTTTCAAAGAGAAAACAACATTAGTAATTAGAACAGCAAATTAATATTGAAACTGCAATGTTAAAACATATACGAATTCCTCTGCAAACTGTCATCAGTTACCATACTGCATATCAACGTCTTCACATCACACAATGAGCGCAGCAAGCCACACCTCTGGCCAAACAATAACCAACCAAATAAAATGTCCATAATTCATTGCTTCAAATCCGCTAATTAAAGTTATATGCTTTTAGCAATAAACATTTTATGAGAAAGCAGTTACAAGTTACCACAAAATCACCTCAAAGACAAGATACCAATTGTATGCCATATTCAATCTTAATTCATCTTAAAATTTAAAAAATAATTGTTTTGTTCAAAGTTCTGTGTTTTTGCTGTTAATACAGGTACTCCATATCGATATCAAAGGTAATTTTATGTATTTTTCCCCAAAAATGAAACATTGGGTGTTCTTTTCTCTACATAATTTAACAATATAACAAAAATGACTGTACATAAAGATACTACAGAAATAATCCCTGACTTGGAGAAATCAGCACAACACGTTGATGATCATGTATATGATGATCGATGTTAAATAAGATTGTCTCTAGCATATTTTTTCTCTACCCATACTGCATGGTAATTGAAGTAACTGCACATACGGCATGGTAATTGAAGTAACATATTCTAATAATGAAACTACCAAAAGATTTTTTTTCTTAAATCTTCTTGAGAAATTTTTTGATACAAAAACTTCTTTATTAATTGTCGTATCAAGGAAAATATTCATTACTTGTTTGTTTATTTAGAATGTGTTAAGTTCGTATTTCGAATGTTTGGATGTCTTAATATCAAAAGATAATCACTTCTAAAAAAAGAATATTTTCACTTTTTTAAGAGCATTTTAACTTTTAAATATTTAAATCATTTTAAATTTCTTCTTCAGAATATTTTACTTTTTTAAATAGAATAATCCATTTTCTTATTGACAACATTTCAAATTCTTAACAATGAGAATATCTTAACTACTTCATCTAGAATATTCTAACTTTTAAAGAAAGAATATTCACATTTTTTATCGACAATTTTTCAACGTTTTCAATTTAATTTAGAATATTTTCACTTTTCATTCAGAATATTTTTACTTTTAATCTAGAAATTAATTACATCTTTTTTTCCTCAATGTAGTATATTTTGACTTTTTACTTCAAATTTTAAAACTTTTTTTATTTTAGAATATTTCGACTTTTCTGAAGAATTTTTAAACTGTTTGTTTAGAATGTTCGATTTCTAATTCAGGTGTTTTAGGTCTATGGATGAGAAAATTTTAAAATCACACTGTTTCCTTTCATACATTACTATTATTCTACACAAGCTGTATATATATCTATACCTGATATACCCTGATGACCAGTCCCAGTCTGGAGGGGATTATTTTTCACTCTTTTGGGGGATGCAATATATTCAAATTTAAACCAAAAAATATTTGAAAATGAAATTACTTATAAGAGATCCATACATGATTTTCATGAAAAAATGAATTCATTCTGCATCAATATTTTGTATATTTGTAAAAGTTTAAAACCAGTAAACAACCTTTACAATATTTTGATCTGGACTTGTCATAATTTCGAAACCTAAATACCCGTGTTCAATACCTCTACATTTCCTTATAATAGTAATAATCTGACAACATGATGTCACACAATCCACGCCTATCAATGAGTTGTTTTTAACTTTATTCACAACAATTTGAATCACATACTTTATCATCTGTAAACATATTTCATGATTTTTACCCAATTACGACCGATGTGAAATGTGAAGAACTCTATAACTACTGATGTTGTAGAATGTAATTTGAGTACTATAAACTTTGTGATTTTTCTATTCTGTTCGGCTGGCAAGTATATCATGTTTATCAAATATCAGCTACACATAAGATCATTTTAGGTATAAATTACTTGCTGTGCGATGATTGAACTTGTGAATTGAAGCTAAATGAGATTTCATAATTATTAATCAGTGTCATCAAGACTTAATTTTTATGATTTTTTTAAAATCAAATAAATAAAATTTGAATGCTTGTTTTTGAACTTTCTTGAGAAGTTTGTCTTTTCATAATTCAGAGTTATCTCCTCTTGTGAGCAGGTAATAATCATTAATCACTTGATTGCTAGAGAATAACATGATAACTTTTGAGAAAATAAAGTTATATTCTCCTGCATACTAATGACATAATAATCGATATATGCCCACAAGGGCAGATAACTCTACATTACAAAAACTCAGACAACAATCACTTGGATATAACTGTAAAATTACTGAGAATTAGTCATCAAAAAAAGACACTGCATTGATAATAAATATTTTTGAGAGTAAACACTGTATATGAATACAGACACAAACTTTCATTTATTCAAATACATCTATGAAATATCAGATGGGTAGAAATTTAACATCTCTTTGCTTATTGGTGCAAAAATTTATACCTACAGCATTTACTAATGAATTAGAACACAAATTCAACAAATAAATAAAAAATTTTAAAATAATGCAAAATGATATTACATCGTTATGTTTGTGCACCAGCAGTTAAACTCTTGCATATGAAATGGGTGTTAAATTTTGACTTAAGGCTCGTATGAACACAACAAATCTGTTTACACTTGTTCGCTCTGGTTACTTATGGCACAACTGTTTAATGAGAACATAAACAATGCACAATTGGGACATGAAATGATTTGAATTCTACCCTGGAACAGTACAATAAATGGTATCATGATTTCTTTTTCACAATCGTCACACCGAGAGAAGTATTGCTTTCCAGTGCAAGGATAACTTTACAAAAATTCTAAGCCACAAAGAGTGAATTGTGTTGATAATGCAGCACTTTGTTATAGAAATGGTTTATGGATGTTCCTAAGGAACTGTGTAGACTGATATTTTTTTCTAATCATGTGTCCACATTTTAACAAAAACATGCTAATTAGTACCTGATATGCTTTGATTTTCGTCGCTATCACAAACCTACGAGACTCAATACTCGGTCGTCTTTTGTGTCAAGAAGCCTGGAATTCAAACAACAAAACAGAGTCTTGTGGATTTCCAGCATGTGCTTTTATAGACTAACCATGAACTGGTAGTGAAAAAAAGCTTTTATGGCAAATTCACTCATACTAAATAACAGGTGTCCATAGGATTTTCTCGTTTTTAAACAATTGGTCGATACAATCATATTTATTGTTATTTCTATAATGTTAATAACTAGGTGACCAACTTTCCCAATTTTAACAAATACTCGAACTTTTCTTATAAATAATAAATATTATTTGAGGAAGAACAGGATGGGGAAGGCCGGGGGATTTTCAAAAAATTAAAAAAAAAAGGTCATGTCTGTTATTAACAGCAATTTTGTTTCTCTGATGATAATCCTGAAGTGTCAAATTTATCCATCTTGTCTCTGTAAGAGCTGTATTGCAGAGTTATCTGCCCTTCATCAGGTAATGACTGTTATGTCATTAAATTGTGTGAGAAAATTACATTGTTTGCTATTGACACTAACAAACAAATGATGATACAATCAATAACTCAAAAGGGCAAATAATTCTGCAATATAATAAAAAAAAAGACAGAATACATCAAACCAAATTTGATTGATTTTTAAAAAAAAAAAAGAAAATTTTTCTGAAATACTGGCAAATATTGAAAAAATCTTTATTCTCAGCAAAATGCTTTACATCATGAAATATTTCAAAAGTTTTATGAATTTTTGGTTGTCATATTATGAGATGTATTATCTTGAATTGTTATTTTAATTTGCAATTTTTTCCCCAAGGAAAAATTTCTATTTGAAAAATGTGTTAAGCCAGCTAAGTCGGAAGCTCATTGGTCAGGGATATCAGTGCCTTGTTGGTGACAAATTGAATGGACATTCTTATATGACAACTAGTTAGGAAATTATGTATGATGTTTCAATAACTAAGTTATCGTTACCTTCATGAGACAATATGACCAATATGATGTATATTAGCATAGAGGTACATGTGTACGAGACGGTAGTAAGTTCAAAGGACTATTTTGGCTGAAGTATAATTTTATAAACACTAAGGTGGAAAGTCAGTATGTTGAGAAGGTGATAAAATCACAGTGAAAACAGATCAAATCGGTGATCATATCGCATTAGAGGGAAAAAAGTATTATCCTGTGAAAGTTGATTCAGCTACGCGTTGTTTAAAACCTGGTCTGAGATGTTGTCTAGTCTACTAGCCTGTACGTGTATGTGGTTTCAAAATGGTTGTAATGTGAGATTTTCTATACTATATGAGACATGTTTAAGCCTAGACACCTGTTATTTGTTATCTATTACTGGTGAATTTTTTTTCTGAAAAATGTAAAAAAAAAAAAAAAAAAAGTGTATACATGTATATAAATTGAAATCTGGTGGCAAGCAATGCAAAACATGACCTTTTATGGATTAGTGTTGATACAGAGTAGGTTAAATGATTTTTCAACAGTACATGAAGGTCAAATGAATATTTCAATTTCCTGATGCTTTATATGGAATGGGCTCAAAGTAATACCTGTAAATAACAGTTGTTTATACAGTAAACAAAACATGTATTTTCAAGAGGAATTTAAAAGCAAACTGAAATATCAAAATTCGATCATAAATTGAAAAATCTTATTTTTTTTTTTAGAAGTAACCTTGTTTTCTTGGTACACTTATAAAAGAGTCATCTTTTTTTGGGGTTGTTGTTGCTGTTGTTGTTATTTTTTTCAGACATTTTTGATTCCCATGATTGAAGTGTTTTCTGCTTTTCTCACTAAGACAGATGGAACTGCACCTGGAATACATTTGTATATAAAACATTGCAGGTCATTCAGTGAAGATATGAAAGCAGATCCTTTGAATTCTGGAATGATGGATTTCAATATCCTTTTGCGGTCTTAGTTCTTAGAACCATGTGCACAGTCTGGTTACCAGTGGTAAGCTAGATTAAAAATTTGGCTCCTAAAGGAGATATATATGTAAATTGTAACACACATATTTGGTAAATAGTCTGGTTTCAGTGTGGTGAAATAAATTGGTGATATTTAAATCAAGAATCATAGCTGCTAGTCCTTGCTGGATTGCCATGGAAACACTAAATTATCACAACAGGTCCTCCTTTTTTGAAGTTGATCCATTTTTAGTAAGAATTAACACTACATTTTGATAATTTCCATGGAAACGTCAGACAGAACAGTCCATTTTAGTTTCGGGGGTAACCGTTAATTGGCTGGATATGACATGACTAGGTTCACTATTATTGCAACCTGGAGAGAAAAAAAAAGAAGCAAAATGGATTTTAAAATGTTTCAAGAGTAATTTGAATCAGCACAAATTGATCAAAATTCATAAAATGTTGTCCATATTTGTTCAAATGATAATCATGACAGCAGAACAATTTTTAGGGAAATGTTATAGAAATTGAAATGACACACACCAAGTTCACTCATGCAGATTAACAATTTTCATCGAAAACAATAATTGTATTATTTTAATTTTCTCAGACTTCCAAACAGAATGTTTTTAACTTAGAATTAAGACTCATCTATTTTCTGCTCAGAGCAACAAAGTCTAAAAATAAATTCTTTCAAAACAAGATACCAACTGAAGTAATTTTCTGTAAAGCAGTTGACAAACTAGGCCTCACCTGCATTACTTGTACCTGTACTTCTTCAGACAGTCATTGCCGAGGTCAACAACAAAGACATGATGGTCTGAGGTCGTAGCCAGGCCGCTTGGTCGTCGAAGTTTGTCATGGAAACTATCAATACAAAACTGCAACTTTCCACTGGAGTTGAGAACCTGGATGAAGCTTTTCCCCTTTTCTGTTTTTGTAGCAAGAATGAAGCCACCTGCGTCTACACTGAGTCCACCAAACTGGCCTTTGCTTTGATCAGGAATGACTCTAGAGAACTTTCCATCCTTGCTGAACACTTGTACTCTATGGTCAGCGACTAGAATTTCATCACATTTGCCAACAGCAACTGCACACATAAGTTTGAACTGTCCTTCCTTATCTCCTTTTCCTCCGAACGTGGTGTTGAGTTTTCCATTGCTGTCAAATATGAATACTTTATTGGCACCGTTGTCGGCCACAATGAACTCTCCTTTGCTGTTGACTGCAATGTCTATTGGTTCCGTAAAATCAGGGTTACTAAACTTCTTGACCAGTTCCCCATCTTTCGTTACCACTGTGATGTACTTTGTCCTCCAGTTGACCACAGCCAGATTACCATCTGGTGTCAAAGACAGCCCAGTTCCACTCTGATTTTCCAGTCCTATAGGACCTATATGTCCCACAAAGTCACCTTTAGGATTAATGACCTTGATGCGACTGTTACCCGTGTCAAGAACATAAATATTTCCAGCCTTTTCTGTGACAACTCGGACTGGTTGAACAAATTTTTCCTCACCAGATCCTCGGGATCCGAATTTCCACACAGGATCTTTATGATCAGTAACATCTATCACAAATGGGCTTCCTTTGATTGGACGATTAAAGATACTGACAAAAACCTTGATCTTGCCAGCTTTCGGTGGCACATATTGCACTTCATAGGTTCCATTCTCATGATCTCTGATTTTTGACTCGACAAGTTCACCCCGATCTGTACGCACTTCTGCTGTCACTGGATCAGCGCCACTGGTTCGTGGGTTGCCATGGTAATCGACTGTTGTGACCTTGACTGAAGATTTTAAGTGCGTGATTGCTTCTCCGATTTTTCCTGTACAGAGGGATGGAAATGTTGTGCTTACTTTGATTCTACCGAATTCTGTCAGAGCCTTTGAAATGTCTTTATGTGCATTGTTGTGTTTACACTCATATTTGATGAAAGAGTTTTCCCTTGGTTCTGAAAGTGACGTAGTAGTATCTAACTTCTCATTCAAGTCACCGATCTTTTTAGTTATGTTTCTAACCTCCACTTGGTATTGAAGCCCATCACATTCAGCTTGGACTTTCTCCTTTTCAGTCTGGATCAAATCTAGTTGTTCTCGGAGAATCTTTCGTTTATCCTCCCGAATTTTACGAACCTTTTGTAAGCATTCATGACGTCGTTTATCAACAGAAGCGATGAGATCTTGGAAGGAACGGTTGATAAATTCTACAGTTTTTTCTACAGATGACTCCAAATTTTGAACTTCTGAGGACACATTGTCATAAGCATGGTTTAAGTTTTTGATACATAAGTGAGCCTTATACAGCAAAATTTCTGACATTCTTTTGATTGCGATTGAGAACGGTATCACAGTATGCTCACTTGCTCCCCTCCCATTATGCTCCCCGCCAGTGCACTGAGTGCAAAACACAGAATCACAGGTTTCACAAAACAAAAGTTCTTGCTGTGGATGGGAGGAGCATTTCGGTATAACGTCCCGCCTTTGTTGTGACATAAGGTCCAAGAGTTGGTTGACGATGAAACTCGGAGGAAACGATGTAACTCCTCCTCTTGGAATTCCAATGTGCTCACGACAAATCGGACATCGGAAATAGCCTGTGTCTGTGAGTTGTGCCTCAACAATACGCTGCAGACAGCTTTTACACACAGTGTGGGAGCACGGGAGGAGTTTGGGGGAGCACTCGAGGTGGTCATATACACACAGACATGTCCCACATGTCAGGAAGCTGTCATTGAAATCATCGTAATTAATGGACACTGTCTCAACGAGAGTAGATGACATCATATCTGAAAAGACAAAAGAACAGAAAATGTCATTTTCACGATAACATAAAGTCGATGTTAATCTTACTGCGAATTGTTCTTTTACATCTTGGCATATGCCGACAGACCTGTCTAATACACCAGGGCACACAATCAGGAGCTTCTATAAGAAGCATCTGTTACCCTGACATTTGAACATTATATAATGAAACGAACTCAAAGCAAGGTTAACTGTTGTAGGTGACCTTATCATAAAAGATGATCAAATTCTCTACAAAAAAAAGGTCACTACAGTTATGTCATTGAAATAGTTGAAGATTATCTGAAAATAGTTCCAGCGACCATGACCTTTGAACCCTAAAACACAAATTCATCCAAGACATTATTAGAGTTGACCTTTGAAAAAAGCATCATTCAATCCTGAGACTTCGTAATGATGATTATAGAGTGATGGCGTATTGATTTCACTTCAGGCAAGAATATGTCCCGATCCCTTCGTAAATTGGTGGGGAATGAAAAAAAAAAAAAAAACAGTTATGCATTGCTGTATTCCACCTAATAAGCCCATCTGCCCCTATAAGCAGAGCTCAACCTTTCTTCACAAAAGCAGACGGGTGCGCTAATTCATCAAAACTTATTAGAAACTTACCCCACTGATCTGTCAATTCAATCTTCCGCCTTTCTTGGCTACATAAAGATATGTTAATACGTAAAACATTTCTATTCTTTCCACAAGGATTTCAAATGGGAACTTTTCACCTGTACAGAGTTTTGTTAAGCATATTCCTTTCCTGTTGTTGTAAGTGCAGAGTGCACTTACTAGACAGAATAAGGTTTGTTTATAAACCTCATCTTCACTCAACGTGTTTCTACTATTATAAAAAAGGCTGTTACAGAAACATAACAAAAGTTTTAAGGGAAATGTAGTTAGATAGTTTAAGTCTAGAATATCTTGGCAACAACAAAACAATGAAACACACCATTTCTTCCCCCTGTGTTAGACTAGGTTTTCACACGATCTATACGAGTTACATCCAACGGGAGGTAAAAAAAAGTATAAACTTCACATAACACTTATATTTATATAACACAAAGTCCTGATAAAAAGTGTTATATATTGATTGTATTTCATCCTGGAAAACTGTGCCAAGTCGCTGTCAAGGAAGATGGTTCGGTGAGTCACATTCTGCTGCAGGCCACTTTATACGTTTTACAATCGATAGTGTTGTGTATATCAGAAATGAGTGGTGTTGGACTTGTCTAGTATATTAATTCAAGCTACAGAAACCGTTGATGCATACATATATATATATATATATATCTTATTTACAATATAGATGCAAGGATTGGAAGGACTTATTTGTCATGCTTCTTACCTTGGCACACTCTTGGTAATGCATGTGACCTTGGAGTTATATCCTTGTGATGTAGGTAACCTTGACCTTGACTAGATGTACTGACCTGATTTATTTGTAATGTAAGTGAGCTTGACCTATCTGTTTGTGATTATTTGACCTTGATTTATTCCTTTGTGATGTATGTGACCTTGACCTATTTATCTGTGATATATGTGACCATTTCATCATCAATTTGTAATGTTTTTGACCTTGGCACTATTTCTGAGATGCCATGACCTTGGCCTAGTTATTTATGATATATGTGACCTTGGCCTATCAGTGATGTATTTGACCTTGAACCCTTTTATGTGCAGTAATTATCAATGTACAAGCAGTCTATTCATTATAGATTGATAGCTGACACCTACAAGATTATTACCATCACACACACTAACGTGATGACCTGGCAGCACGCAAACAGTCAGTTGTGTCATGAATTACTAACATACTGTATTTGGGGCATCGGTTGTTTGTTTGCTAGCTTTACATGTATCAATAAGTGAAAAGCCAGAGTCATTTTAAGAGAGGGTCTCCTTGTAGAAGGCGATAGACACCTCAATGAACAAGATACGAGAGGTCAGTAGCTTGGGTCTCCTTGTAGAAGGTGATAGACACCTCACTGAACAACATACGAGAGGTCAGTAGCGTGGGTCTCTTTGTAGAAGGTGATAGATAACTCAATGAACAAGATACGAGAGGTCAGTAGCTCGGGTCTCCTTGTAGAAGGTGATAGATACCTCATTGAACAACATACAGGAGGCCAGTAGCTTGGGTCTCCTTGTAGAGGGTGATAGATACCTCACTGAACAACATACAGGAGGCCAGTAGCTTGGGTCTCCTTGTAGAAGGTGATAGATACCTCATTGAACAACATACAGGAGGCCAGTAGCTTGGGTCTCCTTGTAGAGGGTGATAGACACCTCAATGAACAAGATACAGGACAAAGCAAGGCAAAGTGACTTGCCCAAGAACACAATCACAACCATACAGACAGGTGCGTTTCTCAGCTTTTCAAGAACAAAAACTGCCAGAGATAGGGAGCATCAAACCTTGAATTGCCACCTTAGGTTACATAGAACAGTAACTTAACAGACTGAGCTTCCCTTGAGCATAAACTACATTGATAAAAGCAGTTTGTTTTATCATTTGCTTTACAAATATTATGACAATCTGATAGCATTACTTAAAAAATTAAATCCATTTTTTAAAAGAGCAAATCACCATCTTGTTTCCACATCCCTAAATCACCTCGATATTTCAAACCTCACTGTATGGATTTGATCAGTATTTATAATGTAGATCAGAAATCTTTGGATGCTGGACACTCTGACTCAAACATCTGTTACAAACCTAACAACCCACTGAATACATGAAAAACATGCAAATGTTCTATCAACATAGATCACACTCATGTAAACATCTGCTGAAAACGAGATATTTATTGTAAACTCTTACAACAAGTAAACACTCGCAGAAACTATATACTGCAAACACCTGCAAACACCACAAACATCTACTGCAAACACCACAAACATCTACTGCAAACACTCACAGAATCTATCTACTGCAAAAACAACAAATATCTGCTGCAAACACCACAAACATCTACTGCAAACACACACAGAATATATTTACTGCAAATACTCACAGAAGATATCTACTGCAAACACTCACAGAATATATCTACTGCAAACACACACAGAAGATATCTACTGCAAACACTCACAGAATATATCTACTGCAAACACTCACAGAAGATATCTACTGCAAACACTCACAGAAGATATCTACTGCAAACACACACAGAATATATCTACTGCAAACACACACAGAAACTATCTACTGCAAACACACACAGAAACTATCTACTGCAAACACACACAGAATATATCTACTGCAAACACACACAGAATATATCTACTGCAAACACTCACAGAAGATATCTACTGCAAACACACACAGAATATATCTACTGCAAACACACACAGAAACTATCTACTGCAAACACACACAGAATATATCTACTGCAAACACTCACAGAAGATATCTACTGCAAACACTCACAGAAGATATCTACTGCAAACACACACAGAATATATCTACTGCAAACACTCACAGAAGATATCTACTGCAAACACTCACAGAAGATATCTACTGCAAACACTCACAGAATATATCTACTGCAAACACACACAGAAACTATCTACTGCAAACACACACAGAAACTATCTACTGCAAACACACACAGAATATATCTACTGCAAACACTCACAGAATATATCTATTGCAAACACCACAAACATCTACTGCAAACACACACAGAAACTATCTACTGCAAACACACACAGAATATATCTACTGCAAACACTCACAGAAACTATCTACTGCAAACACACACAGAATATATCTACTGCAAACACCTGCAAACACCACAAATATCTACTGCAAACACACACAGAATATATCTACTGCAAACACTCACAGAAACTATTTACTGCAAAAACAACAAACATTTACATCAAACACGCACAGAAACTATTTGCTGCAAACACCACAAACATCTATGTCAAACACTCACAGAAACTATTTACTGCAAACACCACAAACATCTACGTCAAACACTCACAGAAGATATCTACTACAAAAACAACATCTACTGCAATACAACAAACATCTGCTGCAAACACTCACAGAAAACATTTACTGCAAACTCTTATACCACTTTAAATACTGAAATGAAATATCTACTGCAGACACTTAATACAACCACTGCAAGCACTCACAGTATATATCTTTTGCAAACGACAACTACTGCAAATACTTGCAACAAATATCTATGGCAAACACTCACAGCAAACACATATAACAAATAACTATTGGAAATACCAACTGTAAATATCAAGTGCAAACACCCTATAACTATTTCCTGTAAGTACAGTACTCACCACCAATATCTATTGAAAACATCATGTAAAGGACAACAAACATTCATTGCAAACACTCATTTGTGAATTTACTATCAAACCCCACTGCAAACATCTACTGCAAACACACACAACAGCTATTTACTGTAAACACTCCTGTCAAATCATTCTAACAATATTTCATTGCAATTATTCACAACAAACTTTCTTTTTTCTTAAAATCTATCAGTTTTAAATATTCTTGATTGTTCAATGTCAACTTGATCTTATTAAATTTAATACTTCTGTATTTAATAAATTTAACACTTTAAAATTAAGTTTACCCAATTTTACTCTTTGAAATTAACTTAATTTGATACTTTCAAATTTAATCAATTTCATACTTTCAAGTTTACTTAATTTGACACTTTTAAATTTACTAAATCTAATACTTTCATTTTTTACAAATGAAACAGACATTATTGAAAAGTCTATTCAAAATGTGATTCTAGCATGCACAACAATTACATTTTGTGCCATCTACAACATGTGCATCAAACAAATTGTTTTTTTGCTTTTTTTTTTTAAAATCATATCTCCTCAACACAGCAAACTCTTGAGAGATTAGTTGCACAATCATTTCTGAAGATTTAAATTCATTTATTATTACTATTTTCAACAAATATCACTTTAAACTGTATAACTGGTCACGTCACACTGTAGCCATTTTACAACAATTTCATTTTACAGACTATATTTTTGTTTGTTATTTTTTTTTTTTTACATTAATTCCAGTATTTTTGAATAAGCTGAGATCATGGACCATCCTGTTGGGCCTTCTGCATGTTGTTCAGTCAGGTTTTTACCAGCTTTTTAAAGGTGACCCTACCTTAAAAAACCTCTAGCTTGACTCACTTTCATTGGCTAGATTTTGTTTGTATATGAGTAACATTTTGGACCGAAAGAGTTTCTCCTTCTACTTATGCTATTGGGTCCAATGCACTTTTTTATACAGAGTTATGGCCCTTTATTAAGTTTGAATTTTAAGTGTCCTTATCATACAGCATATTTTTGTTTCTAATTTCATTTATAAATGATTGTGCAACAGTATCCCAGAAATTCCATACTACATCATAATCTAGCCACACATGAATTGTTACTTACACTCCGTTACAACGTAGTGGGAGACAAAACCCCCTCCAGCTAAATCTTTAGGCTCTGTAAACAGAAGTAACAGATCATACTAATGATGTAGGATAAATTTATTGATTACCTTCACCTGTTACTTGTCAACCAATCGATTGGTTTAATTACCATCCAGACATTATCAACTCTTAATCAGCCATGTAACATGTGGATAAGATAACGGTGCAGTTTAACGTTTAGCCTAAAGCTTAAAATATGAGAAATGTGCATACATATTTGTCATACAATATTTGTATCTGTTTCAATAAAAACAACACAATTAAAAAGAATTTTAAATGACTTTAAAAAAAATTAAGTATTGTATTACAATAATGAAAAAGTTGCAGGAGCAATATGTTACAGGTTTTCAAGTTTACACATCTAAAAAAATTACTGCAAAGTAACACTGGTTACAGTAAATTTAAGGCAAAGGTCTGTGAAATAATATGATTAGTTTTACATTAATTACAAAATATGAAAATATTTTCTGATCAACTGTTGCCGCAGTTAGATATGCAAATTGATGATATATGCTTTCTCCTAGGATTAATATATACTTAAAATGTTCATATCTACAGGTATAGTGAAATTATATACTGTGACACAGTGACTCCATATATCTGGTACTTATTCATAACATTCGTCTTCTGGCAAATTTCTAGTACCCATCCACAACCATCCTGTAAATCTCTAGTACCCATCCACAACCATCCTGTAAATCTCTTGTACCCATCCACAACCATCCTGTAAATCTCTTGTACCCATCCACAACCATCCTGTAAACCTCTTGTACCCATCCACAACCATCCTGTAAATCTCTAATACCCATCCACAACCATCCTGTAAATCTCTTGTACCCATCCACAACCATCCTGTAAATCTCTTGTACCCATCCACAACCATCCTGTAAATCTCTTGTACCCATCCACAACCATCCTGTAAATCTCTTGTACCCATCCACAACCATCCTGTAAATCTCTTGTACCCATCCACAACCATCCTGTAAATCTCTAGTACCCATCCACAACCATCCTGTAAATCTCATGTACCCATCCACAACCATCCTGTAAATCTCTTGTACCCATGCACAACCATCCTGTAAATCTCTTGTACCCATCCACAACCATCCTGTAAATCTCTTGTACCCATCCACAACCATCCTGTAAATCTCTTGTACCCATCCACAACCATCCTGTAAATCTCTTGTACCCAAAAAAGACACAAAAATGAAGAGCACCTTATGCAATATTGCCAGCTCATTATATATCTTATTTCTTATTCACGGACATACAAATCATTCTCAAAAAACCTGACAGCAGCCATCAAACAGGTGCTCCTGTGTATCGTTAATTTACAAACGTATTCAAATGCTGACAAATATTCCAGGAATTACAGCCAACAATTGAATGTAAATTAACATAAGCAATAAAGCTGTCAGATTACCTGGCTGTGCACACTAAAAGGTAAAAACATCATTACCAAGGTTACAATATTCTTCATCTCACGGCTATAATTGTGTATCTATTACTGCACTGTGCCATCAGACATGTGTTGGCTAATCAAGACACAACCACAACATAATCATCATAGATCATTAAAACATAAAACACCCCTTCTGTATTGTCATCAGACATACCACTACCAATCTAATTAGAATAATCTTCTATACGAACAAAAACTGTAACCTGGTGAATTTACAATCTTCATCAGCAATTTAATCCTTTGTCATAAAGAAAATCCATCTGTCAAATATTTTAATTCAGGTTTTTCTGAAACCCTTTTACCAATGTTGTTGAGGATTTCTTGTACTTATAGTGCCCTCCAGTTGAACTGACTGGAATATTCCAAGCGAAGGACAAAACTGTTGTCCTCTCTGACATTGTAGGTAGGGAGGTAACACAGACACAGATGTAAACCTTGGGTAGCACTTTAGTACATGTTAAAAAATTCCAAGTCTAGAGGGAAAAATATACTGTAATTCACTTAGATTTCCCAAATACTTTACTTCACAAATTTTTCTCTTCAGATATATTTGCCATTACAGGATTTTATGAACGCTGATCTAGGAATGACTTGAAGTTCTTGAATGAGGAGCTAGCTATTCCAGACAATGACTCCTAAAGACTCAGATAACAATTTCAACATAGATGTCGTCAATCATTTTTGTACAAATAATCTCCCCATGTATCAAAGCGAGGTATATCCCATATGGTACTATTACTACAAATGGTTGGAGTATTCCAAGCACTAGACAAACTGTCCTCTCCAGCATTACTGACAGAGACAGGTGCTAAGTTGTAGTGTGATTTGGGATCACTTTGAGACACCAGACAAAACTGTAGTCCCCTCTGGAAGTTCTGTTTAGGGACTTACAGATGAGGACAAACCTGTAGGCCCCTTTGGTAGTTCTGTTTAGGGACTGACAGATGAGGACACACATGTAGTCACTACTGGTGGTACTCCGCGGGGACTGACAGATGAGGACAAACCTGTAGTCACTACTGGTGGTACTCCGCGGGGACTGACAGATGAGGACACACATGTAGTCACTACTGGTGGTACTGGTGGGGGACTGACAGATGAGGACACACATGTAGTCACTACTGGTGGTACTCCGCGGGGACTGACAGATGAGGACAAACTTGTAGTCACTACTGGTGGTACTCCGCGGGGACTGACAGATGAGGACAAACCTGTAGTCACTACTGGTGGTACTCCGCGGGGACTGACAGATGAGGACAAACCTGTAGTCACTACTGGTGGTACTGGTGGGGGACTGACAGATGAGGACACACATGTAGTCACTACTGGTGGTACTGGCAGGGGACTGACAGATGAGGACACACATGTAGTCACTACTGGCAGGGGACTGACAGATGAGGACACACATGTAGTCCCTGCTGGTAGTACTGGTGGGGGACTGACAGATGAGGATACACATGTAGTCACTACTGGTGGTACTGGCAGGGGACTGACAGATGAGGACACACATGTAGTCACTACTGGTGGTACTAGTTAGGGACTGACAGATGAGGACACACATGTAGTCCCTGCTGGTGGTACTGGCAGGGGACTGACAGGTAAGGACACCTGTAGGCCCTACAGGTAGTACTGGCAGGGGACTGACAGGTAAGGACACCTGTAGGCCTTACTGGTAGTACTGACAGGGGACTGACAGGTAAGGACACCTGTAGGCCCTACTGGTAGTACTGGCAGGGGACTGACAGGTAAGGACACCTGTAGGCCCTACTGGTAGTACTGGCAGGGGACTGAGAGATGAGGACAAACCTGTAGGCCCTACTGGTAGTACTGGTAGGGGACTGACAGATAACGACACCTGTAGGCCCTGCTGGTAGTATTGGTGGGGGACTGACAGATGAGGACACACCTGTAGGCCCTACTGGTAGTACTAGTTAGAGACTGATGGACATGGAGCAAACTTATAATTTGTAACCTCAGGTAATAATAACACCTTAGAGAATACTGTGGAGTTCTACAGGTACAAGGTCTTCTCTAGGATTCGATCACTGACCAGCCTTACTCTCAATCAATCAATATTAAGACAATTTATCCACAGACGAGCAGTAGTGTTCTAATTGTGTTACACAGGTAGTTTAGTTTATTATCACTTTACGTCCTATTAACATCAAATATCATTAAGGATAATGTAGGTTTGGGTGGTGGAGGAATGTAGGCGAGGAATACCACTGACACAAATGTAATTCTTCTCAACTTCAATGACAGTTGAAGTTTATCAAGCGTATTGATCTAACTCTGGAAATCTGCATCACCAATACCTTACAGGTTCTACTGAATTTTCTTAGCAGTCACATGAACTTTAAGACTTTTCAGTGATAAAATTAATTACATATCACATAAAATAATGCATTGAACATTTTTTTTTAATCCTTGATATGTCCCAATTCAATAATAACATGAACAAGTCCTGTTGCCAAGACTGATCAGAGAAGACAATATTTCCTACTAATAAATATCAATAAAACCTTGAATAAAAAGACTTGCTGTCCAAATAAATTTAAAATGAAAGGTCAAAAGGGCAATAACTCTGCAAATGTCATGGTATTGATTTTCTAGATATGACAGACATAACTGTGAAAGATGGTGTCTAATTTGTAAACCTGACAATAAAAGCCCAGCGATGACATCGAAAGTTAAGGATAATTTGTTTAAACAATTATATTAATTCTAGGTGTTACAGAGGACATTTTTATATTCATTTTTGACTAAAACATAAAATTGCAGATTTTACCCACTATATATGTGTTACTTTAAATTCTTTAAGTGAAACAAACTAAACCTGCATTTGCTTTATAACTCAAATATGATGTTTCCGTCAATGATTAACAAACAAGGAGAAATCGATCCTAGTTACCTTGGCAGTATAACATCGATCACATCGTGTAGGTTAGGTATGTGATACAACATATAGACAAACACAACACTGACATCACCATCAACATACATTGTGGCGTTTCTTCTGCCGACGTCGACATCTTGAGAAGAAAATGCTGATATCTCACCAAACACACGAACCAATGAAAATGTTGCACCGTTGTACACTGTAGGCACAATAGAATTACGTAATGGAACAAGCTCCATGAAATAAAAACCAATATCCTTTCTACATCAGTTTCGGGCAACGCTTTCCACTGGGCGTTCGATTAGTTCATTATCGATGGCTTGTTGTGAGAATGCTGGTGTCTGCTCCACAGACTTAACCAAGTGCATTTGAGTATTGAATATTTCCATTCATAGAGCTCTGTTAGTTATTTAAGAATGGGTCAGAATCCTCGCCCAACACTGGGTCAATATCTGACTTTTCACCTCCACTTCTTTGTGTAATTCTATATGGCTCTACAACATGTCAGTTGCATTACTAAGTTGTAAATATCCATATATTTGAAAAAAGTAAACATTTGACTGTAAAATTCTACTTATTTTGTAGAAATCAAAATTTCAACTGCAAAAGTCCACTTGCTTTTAAA